TTCGGATTTGACAATTTGTTTGCCGGAAAACATCTTTTGTTTGCATATAGTTCTCCAGGCGACGGGGACGTCGCTTAATAGGGTCTGGGATACTGTCGGACCAAATACCCTTACAAGGGTATTTGGTTGTGATGTTTGCAATCGACCGGGTCGGTTACACCAACTACCTCGAGGGAATTAGTCGGAGCGTAGAAATTTTGTATGAGCGCGCACATCATTGTGACACACGCCGTAATAGTTAGGATCGAAGCTGATACCCTTCGACCGAGAAAGTCGAGGGATTGAGATGGTTACCGTCCTTTCAAGGTACGTTTATGATACGTGGAATGTTGGTCTTGCTCGACCTCTGGTACTCGGCACGTCTGCCTTTACTCAGTGTAGTACCGTCATACCCGCCATTTGGGTGTTCTTCCCACGACGACCCTCGATGACGCAGCCATGGGTAAATACCGGCCTATCAGAGCCTTCCGTTCAAGCAAGTGCCCTTGCACAGACTTAAACCGACAAGCACCCAGACAGATACACTGACTAACTAGTGTACGTACACGCGAATATTAGTAGTGGGTCGGTCCACTAGTTGGACCAGACCACACTGCCTTACTTATACAAGAATTGTTCCCATTCTTTCAGGAAAATGAGAGCTAGCTAAGTAGGTTTAAGTATTGGCCTGAGAAGTGAGGAGTACGGGGATCGAAACCTACCAACCACTGAGACTAGCCCCTTATTGACAGGAAGTTCTTCCCAACCCAGGGGAGGCAAGGCCTTAAACCCGCGACCTCCGTGGTAGAGTTAGGTGGGGTTAGACGTTAGTTTGCAACGGGTGTAGTGGGGTAGTGACACTTGGTGACCTAGGGAACTTAGCGGTTAAATTTCTGTTAGATTTTTTTTTTTTTTTTTTTTTTTTTTTTTTTTTTTTCTCTCTCTCTTTGAAGGTTATGTTTCTTTTCGGTGTGAGCGAGTTTTCTCCATAGACTTACCCTCCTGTACTTGCCCCAATCTACGAACAAGTTCATTTAGGAATAGTTGGGACGTCCGCACTAGATTCGGTTAGCCTCCCGTTTTGGGCCCCGTGGTGAGGAGGCTCAAATTCCCTCTCGTGAATCTGGCTCCGAGTCTGGACAGATTCAACGAGAGGAATGTAGAGACCCAGATAGAGTCGGACCTGGCATTGGGATCCCCGAAAAGGACATGCAAAGTACGGAAGGGGCTGGGCGCGTGTAGTAGAGCACGAACAAGGGGGGCGCTAGCAGAAAGTGAGAGGGGAATACCGAGGAAAAGAGAAGAGACAACGCCTTAGGGGTAACAGAAGACGCGCATAGAGGATAGAGAAGAAGGCACGCGGAGAGAGGAAAGAGACATAGGAAGGAGGAAAGGAGCGCAGAACGATTACGGTCTCGTGAATAAGGAAAGAAGAAGAAGAAGAAGAAGGAGGAGGGATAAGAGGAGAAAAACTAGGACAAGAGGAAAGACGATCACACAAAGGTGAAAGAAGAAGAAGAAGAAGGAGAGGAAAAAAGAGGAAGAAGGAGGAGTAAGAGAGGAAGAGAAGAAGAGAAAGAGGAATGAACTAGACAACATCGGGCTGGCAACGAACCGACGACGACAACGAGGGAGACGACCCGACGACAACTGCGACTACGACGAGGGCAAAGTGAGAGAGAGAACAGGTAGGTCGCCTACCACGCGACTCGCTTCTCGAAGTTGAATCGAATGAACCCACCTTTATATCGTGGGTATGTTCACTTCTACAGTGTGTGTGTGTACGTGTGTGTGTGTGTGTGTGTGTGCGAGAGTGAGAATGAGTACTTCGATCAGCTCGTTGCGAAAGTCTCCAAGACCGTGGCTGGCCTTACGCAACCTCCATCGAAGGAGATGAGAAAAATCAATCGAACTTTCTGCTGAAAATGTCGAGAGATTCACCTCTGCACGTGTGTATGTGTGAGAGAGATATGAGAGAGAGAGAGAGAAAGAGAGAAAGAGAAAGAGAGAGAGAGAGAAAGAGAGAAAGAGAGAGAGAGAGAAAGAGAGAAAGAGAGAAAGAGAGAGAGAAAGAAAGAGAGAAAGAGAGAGAGGGAGTATTGCCTAAGTGTCTCATGGATGAGGCGACTTAGTCCCTGAAGTTGTTGAGCCGTTACTTTGTCTGTACCCGACCGTACACACTTCTTGTGTACATTCAGTATTATTATTATTATTATTATTATCATTTATTTTAGTATTATTCCTAATACCGAGTATTATTTTTTGATATTGTTATTTATTCTTATTATTATTACCGTATTATTGTACTATTACTATTATTATTATTTTATTATTATTATTATTGATATTATGATAAGAGAAAAAGAAGCGCAAATGGGGTCTTTGGGTGCGAGTGGTATCTGTGTGTTGAGGATCGGGGTTATGAGTGGTGCGAGAGACATACCTGGTGCGTGAGGTGAGCGGCATTGGCTGCTATCTGCTCGTAAGTCGGGAGAGCCGTTGTCGTCATCTTCAGGATCGTAGTACAGGCTAGATACGATCTGCCATCTGTAGTCTGGGCTCGGAGCGCCAGATAGGATCCCGACATAGGTTCTACATTGATAATGATGAGACTATACCAACATTGTCAATGAGAGTTTTTTACTGTTACCTTATTTTGGTGGAACTCGCAATGCTATTGTACTCTTGATCCGAGCTCACGACTATCTGGTCACGTGTATGTGATGCTGTTTGATTCCCGAAGCTCGCCATCGTTCAGTTTTCTTATTTTATTATTATTATTATTGTTATTATTATTATTATTATTATTATTATTATTATATGCGTGTTTTATGGGGTACGAGTGGCATCTGCGTTGTGAGGAGCGAGGTTGTGAGTGAAAGTGAGGGCACTTACCTTGTATTGGCGAATGGTCTGCATGGGCGACATCTTCAAGTACTACGGGTTGCCGTTGATGTCAACAATTGCCTTGTCAATTCGTAGGCTGTAGTAGTTGTGTAGGGGTAGGTTGGGCGCGGAGCGCCAAATAGGGGAGTGAAGGGACTGAACTCTTGTGTCGGTGTGGAGAGAATGTGTTCTCCTGGACATCGGTTTTCAGTACTACGAACCTCCTTTGGTGTATTTTGGTGCAACGCTGCTCTCTGGACACGATGTGACTATCTGACTTTCAATATGACGGTGTACTCTGGAATTGTCATCTCGCTATTGCTTATTTTCCTTGCATTTATTATTATTATTATTATTATTATTATTATATTTGTCTTTATTATTTGCGAATAAATTTACCTTCGCCCTTGCTTATCGTACGTGCAGACATGTAGCATGGTAGTAGTAGGATAGATAAGATTGGCAACTGTAGTATGAGCACCGAGCCCAAATGGAAAATCGACGATGATTCCATGTAAAATGATGATTAGACTATTCTCACATTGTCACTTATGAACTTTTGTTGTGTTCTTATTTGACGGGAATAGTAATGCCACTCTGCTTCTGGTGGAAGGTCACGACTGTCCAGTCGTTTGTGCATGATGCTGTTGATGTCTAAAGTTCGTTATTGCTCATCTTCCATGCATAGTTGTCGCCATCTGCAGCATTGTAGTATAGGTTAGATAGGATTGACAGTCTGAAGTCTGGGCACTGAGCGCCAGACAGGATCCCGACATAGGTTCTGCATTGATAATGATGACACTAGATCAACATCAACAGAAAAAAATCCCGGCCTTCCCAGTTATGTTTTTATACATCCTTGTGTTGAAAATTAGTTGATTGTACCGAGTAACAACAGTTCTCTAACATACACCGGTTTTTAACCTTGACCAATAAACAGACATGTGTTGAACCTTACTTCAACACAAGAAACGTTCATGACTTCGCTGTGGACTTCCAAATCAATATGACAAACATTTTCCAACGTTGTTCCAACGTTCGATCCGTTGTTAAGTCATTTGTGGTTATACTGTATCCTTGGTATGCGCACACGTTTGGGAATTAGTTGCCTAACTCATTGCAATGTCTGAGCAACATTAAGATATCGTAGTAAAAAAATAAAATATCGTTTAAAAATAGTTGGAACTCTCAGTGTGACAATCAATAGACATCCGTCGCGACACTTATCTTTGCTTCTCTCTCTCTCTCTCTCTCTCTCTCTCTCTCTCTCTCTGCGTATGTGTGTGTTTCACAATATCTATTTGTCGTTACATCACAAGAGGAATTAGCGTCTATAGGGTTATGTATTTTCTTTGGTCGTGAAAACCTCTTAACCGATGCAAATATCACAATTATCAATATTTTCTTTGGCAAAATAGAAATCCGACACACCATATCCATTGTACCTATTACATTCAATCCACACTGAGGCACTTTAAACATGACCACGAATGTGTTTTGTCCACTTAAAAAAAAAAAAAAAAAAAAAAAAAATTTGCACAACGCTTGAGACATTCCATAGTCGTCTTTGTTGTTCATTCACCCCAACTATCATAGCAATACATAACACACCTGTAACACATGTCTGCAAAATCATGTCGCAGTACCAAACACACATCACACCGATTATGTCTCCTTTGTCTGTTTCCTGCCTCTTTCTACATACCTCTCTCTCTCTCTCTCACTAGTTGACGATATCATATTCAACTCGAATGACCTCTTGACATTTATCTCGCCGTACACGAAGACCAAGTACTATACAAAACGTACAAAGTACAAATATCAAAGACGTCATCTCTCTCTCTCTCTCTCTCTCTCTCTCTCTCAATCAATCAATCAATCAATCAATCAATAGTCCACAATATCATATTCAACTCTCACGACGTCTTCACCACCACCTTGCTGTATGTGAAATCAAAGTACTATACGGAAATGACAAAATACTAATGTCACAAACGTCCTAAGGCCTCTCCTCGGCAATCACCTCGTCACTATCTGCAAAAAATTCGAAAAATCTATGATCATTCTTCATTTGAACGACCTCATCTTTTGCATTATTTCTGCCAGCAAAATGTCGTTCCCATATATTCCTTGAACTTTGCACTACGGTTTTATCACGATCGAGAGAGATCACATTTATAGTCACTTTTCCAATACCGGTCTTGCAAGTTGACACGATGGCTTCTTCTATTCTTCGCATTTCCTTGCTCGCTGCTGCCGTGCGTGCGGGTCAACTTTTGTTGCTGATGTGACACTCTAACACCATATGAGCGAATGGGAGTTGTTGAAGAGTGCAACCATTTCGACCTGCTTCGTCCCAATCTCTGTATAAAACGTCTCGCACGACATTCTTGAACTCTGTTGCGCCCCACGGCCTATCGCCTTTCACTCTCCCCGATGATTGTTCGAGCATTTTCGTCCTCATCTCCTCTCGCTCCTTTTCAAAACGATTCCTTACAGTTCCGCATGGATAAGGCAGCCCCGCGGCGCTCCAAAAAGACCGGACAATGTCGTAAGCGATCTCTCCTCTGATGTTCGTCAACTCACTTGATCCGAGTGTGCGAAGTGTTGTCGGTGTTGTGCTCTTCATCGACTGATCTACGATGAATCGTGTATCCGGGTCTAGAGATTCGGTGAGACCCCTGAAGGATTCGAGATACGTGTCGACTGACGGATACATCTCTGCATCCTTGGCTCGGGATAAACAAAAGCCCTTCGCTACGCAACACATCAATTGCTTCACTATTTTGGAGTGTGCGTATAACGTGTGGATGTTGTCACTAATGTGGTTGTTGAGCTTGCTTTTCTCCGACGCACCCCGTTTTTCGCGTCCTCGCATAACTGCACAGACACAGAGGACGAGCACACAGAAACAGAAAAAAAAAAAAAAACGGAAAACACAATTATTATGCTGGTCACTTTTATATGTTCATTAAGCACGTGAAAATCATAAGCGAAAATGCAAACAGAAGAATCGTTTTCAATGTAGTTGTCTTTTTCTTCCACATTTTTTTAATGCCACAAACAACTTTACAGGATTTCACACAATGTTTTACCTATTGCTTTATCGTTTGTGAAGTGTGCATCGTTCTCGTCATTCTCTTCACGACCGTCTTCATTATCATCATCCTCGTCTTCATTCGATTCACGTTCACCAAAATCGTCGTTGTCTCTGTTATTCTCGTTCTTTGAATCACCCTCTTCCGTATTTGCTTCGTTTTGCTCCAGCTGCTCGTCTTCGCACTCTGTCAATGATGGTTGTCAACATTCTCGTTCCACATGTCACTGCATGTGCTGAATGTCGCGACCTCCAATGTGCTGAATGTCACAACCTCCACTGCTCTCGCTCGCCTGTCGACCACAACGCATGCTGCCTTCGATATCCTCACCGCTTCCTTCTACTTCTGCACTGTCCACAACAGTCGCTTCACCCTTGTTGTGCTCCCTTTTCTTTTCCGTGACATACTTACTTGGAGCAAGAAGGGTTGCTCCGGCCTGCGTTTTTCTACGTACTGTCTTCGACTTCGGAGTATACTTCGAAGACTTTTCCCTGCGTCGGATATCAATGTCGTTATCTCGCTTCTCTATTTCTGCCATCAACAATTTTCGTTTGCTCGCTTCACGGTGCATTTCGACCAAATTTGTCCTCCAACGCTTCGTTCTTGTTCGTACACTCTTCACTTCTTCAGATGTTCCATGTCGTGTTATATCTCGAACTTTGTTTCGTTCCTGTACGAGACGTGCACCGCCATTCGTCTGCTGCCGTGACACCCCTTCTTCGCGAACGCAGAGCCTTCGTTACGTCGATGTCCCTGTAACATCAGGCCCTCGGCGAGGCCGTGATATGTGCTTGTCCATTGGTGGCAAGTACTTCGTCTGTATCACTCGCCGATTCTGTGAAGAGGAAGAAGACACGTAACATAGGACATGAAAAATTTGTCATTAGTGAAATTTCATCTCAGCAGCGGGGCTTTATCTCGACCCTGCTTTTCGTGAACAAAAAACACATATTTTCACATTACATATGCAATGATAAATTTGTGGACTTATGTTAAAAATTTCACCTACCTTGTCTTGTCTTTATCATTGTTTGCGTACTTCTTCTATGTTTCAACTAACGAAATCTACGAGTCGCCGCACATATCTTAGCTCACTTCTTCCAGAGCGTGCTTGATCATTTTGTCGATGTCTTCCTTCTGCTTTATGCAAACTTCTTGAAAATAGCGTACTTGTCATTTGTTGTCTGTGTTCCGTATGCCGCGGGGTATGACTCCGCCAAAGCCTTGATCATTATGTGTCGTTGCTCACAAGGCTTTCTTGACGACAAACGTTCGCAAGCCTTCGTCATTGTGTCTTTCGTGAACTCGAAGTTTTCGTCGTTTGCGATGCACATAAGAATGCTCTCAACATTCCTTGTGGCGAATACACCGCAGTCGTTTGAGTTCCGTTGTTGCTGGCAATCAATCTCGTCAATGAAAGATACACCTTGGATCAATGCTTTCCATGTCGATTCAATGGTCGTGGTCGTAACTTCAACATCGGCTGAATACCGTGTCACCATGTGCTCGTAAAAGAAATAGGCTAACAAAGGTTCAAACGGAGGACTGCCCAATCGTTTTTTGGAGTTTAGGTGGAAAATAACGCAGCCTCTTGGTTGGTCGAGATGTGGATGTTGTAGCATGCGTCCTATGTTGTTCAGCACAAGAATAGTAAAATGGTTATTGCATAGCAGAGGAACAATAACTACTTGATTTTTTCACAAATTCCTCATGCTTTTTGCCTTCGACTTTGAACTTCGTGTTACCGTCTCCAGATCAGGAGGGCTGCTCAAACTCGCGTCCTTGTGGAGTCCCTGGATTCCGTTGTACCATAGAGCAGGCAACAATTTAATGTGTGAGAGGTCAACAGCCTTACGTGTGAGTGAGTCATATACGTAATGACAGTAAAAGTCAACGATATTTGTCGTCAACCACTTGCTCGCTCCCAGACATTGGAGATCTTGTACTCTTAATGTGAATGATTCATTGTTCAGGGGTTTCCATGTGAATGGGAAAAATTTGTGAACAATATCAATAGTTGCCGCCACCAACTTCTGGTCCATAGATTGTGTCTCCTCACCCTCCTCTGTGTCTGCATCCAAATACACTACAGCTCCGGTTCCTTCATCCTTCTCTTGCGACCTCTCTGGGTTACTTCCCCCTGATGTCTTTCCTTCGTGTTCTGGCAATATCTCTATCTTCTCAATTGTTGTCTTGTCCTCTATAGCAATGTCATCCGAGCCTCCCAGAAGATTCGAAGCCGGTTGTAGAGTAAGTTTTGCACAATCTGTCTCACCATGGTCGACTTCAATTCTCGTAGGCAGTTCACATTCCACCATCAACGTCGGCTATTCATTTGTTTCCACTCCATCGAGGTTCGTCTTTGCCTCATTTCGCTCTTCTGTTATCATATGACCTTCAAACTCTTGCGGCCTCTCTGGGTTACTTCCCCCTGATGTCTTTCCTTCGTGTTCTGGCAATATCTCCATCTTCTCAACTGTTGTCTTGTCCTCCACAGCATGGTCAGCCGAGCCTCCCGGAAGATTCGAAGCCGGTTGTAGAGCAAGTCTTGCACAATCTGTCTCTCCATGGTCGACTTCAATTCTCGTACGCAGTTCACATTCCACCATCAACGTCGGCTGTTCATTTGTTTCCACTCCATCGAGGTTCGTTTTTGCATCATTTCGCTCTTCTGTTATCATATGACCTTCACACTCTTGCGGCCTCTCCAGGTTACTTCCCCCTGATCTCTTTCCTTCGTGTTCTGGCAATATCTTCATCTTCTCAACTGTTCACTTGTCATCTACAGCAATGTCAGTCGAGCCTCCCAGAAGATTCAAAGCCGGTTATAGAGCAAGTCTTGCACAATCTGTCTCACCATGGTCGACTTCAATTCTCGTACGCAGTTCACATTCCACCATCAACGTCAACTGTTCATTTGTTTCCACTCCATCGAGGTTCGTCTTTGCCTTATTTCGCTCTTCTGTTATCATATGCTGACTTGTTGTGCTGACTCTCACTTGGCAGTCTCCTCCGATCTTGTCAATTGCAGATAACTCTAACCTCGGCGTGACCACTGCTTCATCATTCTGTGTTGCATCTTTTCTGACTGTGTGCATGAACTTCTTTGTGCTAGTGAGGTCTTCACGTGTTACAAACACACTTCCGTCGTTTGTATTCTTTTTATTTGTGTTCTCGCAGATGTGTGAGAATACAGACTTCATGGCATCTTCTCCTACATTGACCTCTTCAATAACTTCTTTCCCCGCCGCCCATCCCTCTCTGTCTTCTGTCCGTTTCACTTTCTCTCTCAATCTTTCCGATTGTTTGTTGTGTGTTGCTAATCTTTTTTCATGCCGCATATCTCGCAATGTCTCTTTCTCACTGTCACTTTTTAACATCCCTCGATTGTGTTTTCTTGGTGAATGAGAAATGGTAGCAAAAGGTAACGGTATGAGATTCCAGGCAGTTACTGATAATGACAACATAGGTCTGTGGTACATCCTTTGTATTGTCTCGTCCGTCAATGTTTTCCTGAACTTCGGTACGATCTTCTTGGCTGTCGTGAAATTTCTGACACGTTTCGATTCTTGAGTTCTCTACGTCGATGCTTTCTCTACACAACCTTGAACTTTGTTTTTTGACATTCCTTGTTTTTCCAATACTTGACCGCGATTGGAGGTCGTGTGCTTGCGAGCCACTCTGCCTCCTTTCCCTTTCCACATTCCTGATCGTGCAACTCCTTTATCTTATCCCAGATTGTTCTCATTACTTTTGCATGTTTGCAGTTCACTTGCACCATCTCCAGTTTTCGGTTCACTGGTTACTCATATCCTTCGACGCGGTGTCTTGTTTAAAAATCTTTCTGCTCCCTCCTCATTTCTTTCGCTATTTGTACCTCGTTCAGGCAACGGCGTCATTATCGTACAATAGTTACACCTGCAGAATATGATGCATTTTATAATAAAAACGTATAAGTCAGCAGAAGAGGACTTGGAGACAGTCTTATATAATTGTTGTGAACCGGTCGACGAAAAAAAACCCTTCTTCTATCGTTGTTCGGTCTACATCATGACTAAACGCCGCTCGCTTGAACTATGGTACAAGATGTTCTAGTTGAATTATTGTGTTTATATCGATGATGCTACTCATTTGCACGCCTCTGTTCTCCCCCATTCCACCAATTTACATGACGTTCGATTTGTGAAGTTCCTCGTACAGTCTTTGTACCATTGAACAAATTCACATTCTGTCTTTAACATTTGTCCTCCTTTTGTGGTTTGAAACACAAAAAACATTGTCACAGAAGCGTACTAAATGTCGTTATCGAGACCCCTTATACTCACATCACTCCGTACCTCACGACCATGAAACGAGTTTGTCGCTCTAGCGATTCGTGCATCTGCTCCTTGAATAAAGTCATCGTGTGTGCAAGAAAGTGCGACATGTGGTCGGGGACGTATGACAGTGTGGTCGTGAACTTCACCGAGGTTTTCCTCCATCACGTATGAACGCACACATTGTTGAAATTGAAGTGGTTGTGGAAGGTTTAGCAGTAAGCGAGCAGCTTCTGGTGACGTCGGCCTTATGCGGCGAAGAATATCGCCATCGAAATGCTTCATCACGGCACGATTTTGTTTTGCTTCAAACCGTCCCTCTTCTGTAAAATAGTGTACCCCCGTTGTTACCGACAATACAAGTTTTTGAAACGTGACATTCCCTCGATTGTTTACGCACTTTAAACGAGCATCCAACTCTCCAAGCATTCCAACGGTGTTCTAAAATGATTTGCATATATTCTTTAAGGCTTCAACTATGTATTCAAAAATATCGTGATCTACTGTTTCCATTCGGTCTTGTTGCAGTGCGTAATGGTAATCTAACATCAGAATGTCACCGCAACGACCTTGATAAAAACCCCACAAACCATTCACTACATTGTCACTATGCATCCCCCAGTCCAGCGCTCTCTTCATCGCTGTTGCACGAGCATCGGCATCAGAACCATCATGTACTCTCTCCAATATATCGTGATCCACGTTTTCAGTCCGTACAATCGTGCTGCAGTCCATATGTTCGTGTAAGTTCTCGCTCGGTACAATGCAATTTGGACATCTGCCGTTCTTTACAAGTGCCAGAAGACATCTCTCTAGATGATCTTGCACATAGTTCAACAACAACGGATGTACTGTAACTTCCCCCTATCGTGGGAGGTTAAGTTCCATACCGTCATGAGAGGTCTTTTTTGCATCCTTCAATACAATAGTCAGACTCTCATGGAATACACACCTTTTGCGGCGAACAAATGCAGATGAACTATGAGTCCAACCTCGTGTGTACAGCAAAGTCTGAAGAATTGGCAAGTATGCGAGCAAAGTTTCTCGTTCTGGCTTATCAGCGAGTGACAACATCAGAGGATAAATGCTTGTTTTCATGCGACCATCTACATTCGTTTTGTCAGAATACAAAATAAATGGCAAAACATATCTTACGCGTCCATTTCGATATAATCCTTTGTCATTTCGAATTATGTCTTATGCTTGTCTCCAAAACTGTGTCGATTTCGCGTTCGTAAACACCATGTTTTCTACATGACATGTTGAGTCTGCCTCTAGCATATACTTAGTGTCGTTCATCAGTGCGTCTCGAATCACAGTCTCAAATACTACATCCCATTTTCTCACCCAAAGTTCAGCCTTCGCTTCTGTCGGCGAATCATCTGTCCTCATATCAATGTGCTCCTTAGATTTGTCTGCATGCTTCCCTCGTAACCAACCCTTTAACGTGCGAGAATTTCTATATGGTAGTCGGCTAGCATCGAAAGAAGGGTGACATATAACGGAGAGCACGGCATTCACATCTGCATCTGACAATCCCAACCCTCCTCTCGCAGAACATATCACTGCAGCGAGACGATAATCCGATGGATATTAATTTTTCTCTATGTTGTTTTCATCTTCTGCAATATCATCAATGATTGGTTCGACATTCTCGTGCATGTCCATATTCACGACTTTATCATTTTGTTCGTTCTCTGAACTCATGTCGTTAGCATCACCAGTAGTTCCAGTACGTTGTATCTCAGCTAAGCACCCCCTCGATCTGTGCGACTCCATTAAGCTTGTACGACTGAATATGCGGCCACAATCGTAACACGAGACAACATTTCTGCTGTGCCTCGACATTTTCGTATCATATGGTCAAGAATACGCCACGATTATCTTCCTGTAATACAACTGCATCATTACTGCAACAAACATGAAATTGACCGTCACATATTAATTGTTTACTTTATTCATGAACGACGATCATTTATTTTTCACAACTAAGACAAGAGGACGCATTCACAATATTTTTTAAACAGTTCATTCATAAAAAATATTTTTGGATTTGCATGAAAATACTTCTATTTCCAAATTGAAAAACCATAAACAAGTCGTTCATAGATTGGATTATATACGAAACTCAACCCTGCTTAAAAATGAAAACTTTCTACGGAAGAATGATCGCTTCAATCCTCCTCGCAAGCACTACTTGCCTTTCTCTTACCCTTCACAGGTCCGCGATTCTCTTTTTCCTAGCCCGCCAAACCTTCCCTCGCCACAGGATTTGTAATCTGCATTCACGACACGATGTCATCACTCTCCGTTCTCTCATTCTGACCATGACAAAGATCTATCCCTACCTTGGTGAGAAAATCTGCCACGCCGTCGAAACTCTCTAATGCGGCTATCGCCAATTCTCTACCGACTAACACTTGCCAATTTTTTCCACCTTTCGAAATACCTTTGCCTTTTGGATGCAAATAAGAAAGTCTCGACAAAAAATCATACTGTAAGTGTCCGTCTGTTGTAATGTCTGTACAACAAATCAAAATTGTTGAAGGACATTCTTCAAATGTCAATACGAGACGGAGAACAGCGAGACACCATCCTTTTTGCGGATCACATGAACTGTCCTCGTGATTGTCCCAAAAATTTTGCAGGCTGTTGTTATCGTCATCGTCGTCCATTTCGTCATCACAACTTTTTCCCTCATCCTCACTTTCACCAAATCCCATTGCCTTTGGACCTTGATTTTTATAATCCAAAGCAAAATCCATACATGTTAGAGGGGTTGTCCTTCCGCTGTTTACTACGACCGTGTTGTCTGCTCCTTCGTTCGATGTCAACTTCAATGTTTCATCCCTTGCGCTGCATTCTGTAGCCATAACATCCCAACACTCTCTTACAATTTGTGGTACTTCATTCGATCCAGTGTTTGCAAGAGCCTCCAATGACTTCACAATAGCCTTGCCCGCTATAGACTGTGACTCTGAAGATTCAATCGCATTGTATTCCAACAACTCTTCGGCTCCTTCTAATATCTCAACAATACTAGCCAAATAACTGAAAAACATGTGGGCACGACTGGATGATGGACACAAATTTGTCCACTGCGACAGCATCACGTACTCACCACCATTTGCAATCACACATGGCAACTCGCACACAGATTGCACGTCCTCTTTCTCTACAACACTTCGCAAGTGTAGAAGAGCAAGCGGCTTTTCTAATCCGGGTCTCAGAACGTCACGACGAGGAGGTATAAAATATCCATGAGCTAACGCTTTCCTTTTCATATCCCCCTTCCAAGTGCGTTTATCATACACTCCGGGTGTCCGTGATTTCGACTTGTCTATTTCGACCTGCTCGTACAACCAATCGACCAGTTCATCAAACTTATAACATACAATGTTCTTCTCCAAGTCTGTTCTAACAACCTCAGTTTTCAAATTCTCATTGCTTAGTTTCTCCAAAAAAACAAGCGCATGAGAGATGTCATGAGCATGTTGTGTCAATGTCATGTCGCGATCAATGTGCACATCGAAATATGATGGTATGCAATTTCGCAATTCATCGAACTCTGTTTCAGTTGTGTTGTCAATGCCTTCTTTGCATACTTGAGCACGATCTCCATTGCGCGTGTGCATCGTTCATGACTCATCGCCATCTGTCATTCATGCGTGTCGTCATAACGATTGTGCAAAAAAACTTGTAAGAAAACCTATTGAACGATTAATAATGGCATAAGTATTTTTTTTTTAATACAATCCACAGACCAATGTCATCCTCTCCAAACTTTGTGCTCGCCATTAGAGAAGGGAGCATGACCGCCTTTCCGACGTTCGTTCCTTCGCCAATGACGCACATGCACATATAAGAGAGAGAGAGAGAGAGAGAGAGAGAGAGAGAGAGAGAGAGAGAAAAAAAAAAAAAAAAAACATGTCGTAAAG